ATATACTTCACATTTACTTATATGTATAAATATTGCTTCCCTCCAATAGAATATAAGCTACTTGAGGGCAAGGACTGATTCTTTGGCTTTGTATCTCCAAGGCTTAGCATTGCAACTGGCACATAGTAGATTCTTAATAAATGCTGGTTGCTTAACTCATTGATTGATTAGAGAACTACACATGGTTGGTCGCTGAAGAATAACAAAGCTGGAGATTCAAGCTACGCTTTCTCCTTGAAAGCAACAGGGCTCTGCAAGGGCACCTCAGTGAAAGCGTTCTGCTGTGCCTCCACGTTTATGATCATCTACTTTCTGAATGGTCAGATTCTAAGCATTCATATTGTGTAATTAATATCTTCTAAGCTGCAAAAAGCTTTAATGAGAAACACGAAGAAAGATAACATTGGCAGGGAACTTAAAAGAATTCATTTGATGATGTCAATGTCGTTCTCTCAATTAAATTATTAAATTAAATTATTAATTAAATTATCCAGGATCCGTACTAAAATTTCTCAAACCCATTTATTTATATTCCTATATTGAATACTCTTCAGCACTATTGTTTTCACTCATCGAACTCTGCCAAGAACAGAGAAAGACTCTTGTATGTTACCCAGGGGCTTTTCACATTACACAGTTATATCTATTTCTATGATCTTAAGGCAGGAGTATTATAAGGTTTAAATGTGATAATGGATTATAAACTTTAAAGAATTATATAAAGGCCAATTACTATTAATATTATTATTGTTGTTGTTGTTAATCTGTTATTATTAGCCTATGGTTGCCAGGTCTTCATTCTGGTAACGACTTCATTCCCCGAGCTTCTACTGCACACCCAATAAGCTCAATCAACATTTATAAGGCAATATAAGTGAGGATTGGTAAATGTTTAACAGTCAGACTCTCCAAAGGAAAAGAAAAAGGTAGGTATACACATTTTAAGCTTAATCTACATCAGGGGTGGGGAACCTGTGGCCCAGATTCCAGACACCACATAGATAATTAACAACTCAATTCAATAAACATTTATTATGTGCCTACTAAGATCCAGACACTTTGCTAAGTGTTGGGATTAGAAAAAGAAGAAAAAGACAGTTCCTGCCCTCAAGGAGCTTACAATCGAATGGGGGAGATAACATGCAAACAAATACATACGAAGTAAGCTATACATAGGATAAGTAGGGGGAAAGAAGAAGAGAAAGGAGGGTACTTTATAACATAACCTATCTTAAATGAAAAAAAAAAAAACCAAGAAACTCCAACAAATTCTACTCTCCATGGCAGATAGGTATTTTGGCCAAATGGCATTCTTCAAAGTAAATCAATCAACCAAATCAACAAACATTTATTACTGTATGTAGAGAGCTAGAATGAGAGCTAGGGCATATGCAAATCTATAAATAGATATAAGACACAATCTAAGGCCTCACAGAGCTTTAGATTTGTAGGTAACCTTAACAACAGCTAGCATTTATGGAGAATTTTGAGGTTTGGAAAGTGATTTACAAATATTATCTCATTTGATCCTCACAACAGCCTGGGGAGGAAGGCGTTATCATTCCCATTTTACAGATGAAGAAACAGAGGCAGTCAGAGGTTAAGTTACATACCCAGGATCACACAGCTAGTGAGTGTCTGAGTCTGGTTTTGAACTCAGGTCTTCCCAACTCCAGATCCAAAGCTTTATCTGCTGCACCACCTTGTTGGACCCAGGCTTAAATTCCACCTCTAGATGTTGCTAGCTGTATGAAAGTGAGCAAGTCATTTACTCCAAACCTCACTTTTCTTATCTGTGAAATGGGGATAATAATTCCCCAAATAATCACACAGGGTTGTTAGAAGTCCAGTTGAGATAATGTATGTAAAATGTGATGTCAGCTATTAGTGAGATAAAACACAAGCACAGAGAACTATAATATACAATATGCCATCTTCAATGCAATGAAGAACTATAAAATGATGTTTTATGAGGCTTTGGAAAGAGAAAGGTGGCTATGGCCCAAAGGTGTCAGGGAACACTCAAAGCCTCCAGCAGTCAGAAACAAGCCAAGGGTGTTACTCAAGATAGACAAATACCTTAACTGAGCTCCAGTCATGGTTAATTATAACCCATAAATGGGAGAAAATTTAGGAGTCTCTGTTAATTGTAATTTGCCCACTGAGGTCAACCTCTGACTCCACATTGATGGCTCTGGGGTGACCTGGGTTCTCAAATTCAGTGCCAGTGGAATTCGAGGTTTAGTGGGTCCTACCAACATGGAAAAGTTCCAGGTATGGGCCTGGTAATAAACCTGATACCAATCATCTAAAGACCAGGCTATCTAAATTCCAAAGGGCTCATTGCCTGAGAGCCCAAAGATTCATTTTTCTGTTCAGAGAAAATGTCTACAGCAAGGCCCCAATTAGTGCAAACAAAGAATACTGTTAAGTGATCACATTATTTGAATTCACACGGTACATTTCCAATCCACTGATGCCAATGACTACATCTTATATAATAACTTCATACAACTTCAGACAGTGCTTTGAATACATGTGGCCCCTTCATGAAGATTCATTCATTATTCACACTAAGGGGGCTGGCTGAACTCTGGAAGGGTCATAATCTGCATAGGTAGAGAGAGTACTCACATAAAGGAAATCACAGATCCTTCAGGCAATGAAATATGTAACCCCTTTCATAAACAGGAAAAAAGCCAGTCAGTGACCCACAGCTTGTCAAGATTAAACACTGAAGGACCCACCCAACAAAAGAACTTGAGTATTTCAATTCTTTTGTGCTAGGGCATCTGTGAAAGTTTCCAGCATATACCTACAAAGGCATTGCTAATCTTCTCCATAGCACTGAAGGTCAAGAGCTCGCCTAATTTTGGTTCTTAGGAAATAAGTTGGGGAAGAGCCTGCCACTCTGTGTTTACGAGCACACATTTAGAAGCCCTGTGAAATCCGTAGCAAAATTAGCCATCTGAGAAAAAAAATCGGATAACCTAATTAACAAAGCAGAAAGAGTTTGGCACTGTTTGCTCAGGGGCCTTTGGGTTCTACCACAAGCTTCATGGGGGGACTGTCCAGCAGATGAGTAGTGATAAAAGAGCAATCATTCAGTGGGCCCCAGAATGAAACATAAACAGGAAAACAGGCAGCAATTACCAAACCAGGGAGCATTTTTTTTATTTTCTCACATGCAAGAAGAAAAGCACACTGAGCTTCCACCAAGGTCCTGAAGTCGCCATTTGCCAACTTTAAAAATCCAGAAAATATCGAGATTCCTAGGGAAATCAATGCAAGTTTCAGAGAAAAAGCTCTGGTTTTCACAAACACCTGTTGGATGTCGCTATTTCTTCCTGTGAGCAGCTATGTAGCTTTGCTTTTTCCCTATAGTCTTATGACTCAGCATGAGTGCCCTGCTTAAAAGCTCAAGGTTTATTCATTTATTTATTCATTCAACGAGCATTTATTAAGCGCCTACAATGGACAAGGCACTGAGAATGCAAGGACAAAACCCATGCAGTCCTCAAACTCGAGGAGCCTATATTACGTGTATTGTATTCGAGTCTCTCCTAGCTTAGCTTTGGAGGGGCTAAGTTAAAAGAGATGCTAGGAGGAAATAGATCCTCTGCTCAGGACTCTAGCTAAAGCTTTGGATTAAAAGAGGGGTGTGTGTGTGTGTGTGTGTGTGTGTAGACATGGCACCAAAGCACTGGGAAGCAGAACCAAAAGGAACAGCAAGATAACATTCTCCAGAAGACACCAGCATCCTGGTAGTTAGACACATTAGTTAGCCCTCAATGCCTATGCCCTGGCCACATGTGTTCCCATGTGTATTTCTCATACACGATCCCTACTATGTCCACTCTTCCTAATGATGATGATGATGATGTGTGTGTACTTGTGGGAAAATACATCCCAAGTTTTAGGGGAGATGTTTTATTTGTCCAGCAGCTAGGTGGCACAGTGGATAGAGCACTAGGTCTGGAGTCAAAAAGATTCATCTTCCTGAATTCAAATCTGGTCTCAAACACTGATTAGCTATGTGACCCTGGGTAAGCCACTTAATTCCTATTTGCCTCATGTACCTCATCTGTAGAATGAGCTGCAGAAGGAAATGGCAAACTACTCCAGTGTCCTTGCCAAGAAAACTCCAAATGGGGTCATAAAGAGTCAGACATGACTGAAAAATGAATAAACAACATGTTTTACTGTTACTTTTCTTACTATGCTATTTCATTAAGTTGTCTTTTTTTCTTTGAACTAATGATATCCTGTGACTGATTGGTAGAAATAAACCACCGATGGGGGCTTGTGAGCTATGGTTTTTGAATGGATGCAGACCAGTACTGATTCTTGAACCTTGAAGCTTTTTTTGGTTACTTCACGTACGAAAGGGCAGTGCCTCAAGCACCATATAAAGAAAGGACTGTGCAGTGTGAACTGTTATTGTTATTGTGACTGAATTCCTTGGATTCTCCAAGTGAGAGCAGCTCTTCTTTGGTCTCTTCGAGGCATCTAAAATACTTCATAATCTAGGTCTGATCTACCTTTCCAAATTAATTTCACAAGACTCTCCTTCATGTCCTCTATATTCCAGCCAAACTGCCTCATTTTGGCACTTCATCTCCTACCTCCAAGCATTTATGCAGAGCCCTAAGCTTGGAATGCTCTCCCTCCTTAGCTTTACCTCTCAGAATCCCTATTTCCTTTCTAAGCTCAGCTCAAGTAGAATTTCCCTCAAGAGACTTTTCCCAGCTCCTAGGTGGGTCCTTCTCCAAAATTACTTGATATATTCTTTGCAGGTCCTCAACATGGTACAGTAGAAAAAGTTGTAAGCTTTTGACAATTTGTCAACCACAAAGTTGTATTAGCACACAGCCCATCATCACCATTTCTAACAACATTTTCATTTTATTTAGAGGTAAGATTCGTTCAAGAATGTTTATAATTATTTACCAAAATTAATACAAGTTCCTTCCAGAATTTTCTCCAGCACTCAAGCTCACCTTTCCAAAATCTCCACCTTCTCTCTGACAGGGATGACAATTTATGCTGGAGAAATGATCAGAATTGCCAGGCTCATTAATGTTACTCCTTGCAGGATTCCTGTGGGGAAAGTATCTTTATCAACACTTTGCAATTTTTTGTCAGGCTAAATCAAAGGCATCAACAGTGGTTTGCCCAAATAAAAGTTGAACAAATCCTGCCAGGGGTGTCACACGTGGGAAAAGTCCTGGAGGTGGAGTCAGAAGACCTGAGTTTGAACCTCAGCCCTATGACTTATTATTTTTGTGACTTTGGGCAAATCACATAACCTCTCTAGGCCTCAGATTCCTTATTTGTAAATCAAGAGAGTTGGATCAGATGACCTCTAAGATCCTGGTCCCTTCCAGCTCTAAATATATGATCTTATGAACTGAAGTGACTAGATACATAATTTCCTGGATGAATCTCTCTCTGTCTCTCTGTCTCTGTCTCTCTCCTTCTCTTCTCTCTCTCTCTCTCTCTCTCTCTCTCTCTCTCTCTCTCTCTCTCTCTCTCTCTCTCTCTCCCCCCCCTCTTCCCTCTCTCTTTCTCTCTGTCTCTCCTCTCTCCTCTCTCTTCTGTCTTTCTTTCTTTCCCTCTCTTTTCTCTCTCTCCTCTGGCTCTCTCTTCTCTCCTCTTTTTATCTCTTCTCTCTTTCTCTTTTTCTCTCCCCATCTCTTTTCCCTCTTTCTCCCCCCCCATCTTCTCTTTCTTTCTCTCCCTTCCTCTCTTCTCCTCTCCCTACCCCCCCCCACAAACACATAGAGGAAGACAACTACTTTATAGGACTGTTGTGAGGAACAAAAATGACAACATATGTAAAGCTATTTTTAAACCTTAAAAGTACCATATAAATATTTATTATTATTATTAATAGGCAAATATAACCAGTTAAGGAAGGGTTTCCAGGCCCATATCTCTGATTGGTATATATTCCATTTCAAGTATGTATAAAAAAAATACTCAGGAATCTCTGTCATGCTAACAGGAATTAAATTTAATCTGCATAAATAAAATTAATTTACTGGCAAGTTAATTCATAAATATAGCCAGGGGCTCCATTTTCTCTTCAATTCTGTGGTGGTCCTGAGCAGGTCAGGATCAGTAAAATGAGACTTTCCCTAGAAGGACGAGTTATTTCTTGCTGCTCCCCACCCCCCAACAAATCACCCAAAAAGTCTAGAGGGTGAGGCAAGAGAAAGAAACCATCACGGAGGAAGCAGTAACAATTTATGGTTTTGACAAACAGCAGAGCCATTACCAGGCCCTGTCTTGTGTCTGCCTGCGGTTAAAGGCTTCCTTACGCCTTTCTGTGCGCTGATATAGTCCAGAGCTTTTTTCTGAGCCCTACTCTGGCCTTGGGGCCAATAAGCATGTGGAGGGAGAGAGAGAAGACTGGGGGGGGTGTCTCCAATTTCCAAAATAACCAATCATCTCGTCCTTATTGCTCAGTTACAGCAGGGATGAAGAAGAATGGGTGAAAAAACACTTAAAAATTCAGCAGATGCTGCTTAAAATAAATGCTACCTCCTCCAAAAACAGACCAGGAGAATAAATACAATTCCACTTTGTTATCTCCCATCATTTTTCTCTCTTGTTTTTAACTTGCATCATCCAGGGCTACAAATGACATGAAGTAGCCCCTATTACCTCACATCCAGTACTTCCCAACAAGGTCAAACACAATAAGATACCCACTCCCACCCCAACCTCCCCCCAAAAAAGCCCTGGCCAAGAATGACCTGAGAAGGCACAATTGGAGGTGGTAACGAAAATTGTGCCTTCCATTATTATCACAGTTTTAATTTTTTCAAGACATTTTCACACTCCTTGGTTCATTTTTATCCTCACAACATCCCTGTGAGGTGGGTAGGGTGGATATAATGATCCTCCTTATTTGCCCAGTGAGGAAACAGAGGCACAGAAGGGTTCAGTGTGTTAGCCAAGATGACACAGTGAGTTCAGTGGCAGGGCAAGACCTGCATTACGGGGTTCCTGACTCCCCACCTGGCATCCTTTTTTCTACCATAGAGAATGAATGAACACCCAGTAATTCATGGAGGCACCCATTTAAGCACACATCAGCTAAATAACTTCTTGAATGTTGATGAAACGTCAGCAAGAGATGACAGAGAGAACTTTGGGGCTGGGCAACATATAAGCTCAATAATAATAAGCCCAACATGAGTCGGGTTGTGTGGTGGAAAGAGCACTCACTGGATTGAGCCTGGAGACTTGAGTTCAAATCTCAGCTCTGCTAGTCTAGCATGATCGTGGTGGAGCTAAAATGAGTATTTCTGGTATCTGGGGCTAGTTTCCCAAACCCTGTGCTGGAATCAAAAGATACTATAGAATTTATTTTTTCAGGAAAATTAATTTCAGTGAAGTAGTGAGAAAGGAAAGGTGCTTGGGCATTGAGACACAAAACTCTGTAGTAGTTGGGAGAGGTGGTAGGGAGACATCGTCTGCTAACTGCTTTAGGTCGCTTGAGGACACAATGGATAGATGGAGTGCTGGCCTTCAGGCTGGGAAGATTTAAGTTTAAATACTAGGTTACCATCATTCTTACTAGTTATTCGACCCTGAGCAAAATTACTCAATACAATATCCCCTAGTTGCTCTCCATGCCACAAGCCCCTCCCCACTCTAGTTCATCCTCTCATAAAGATGTCAAAGTGACCTTCCTAAAGTACACATGTGACCATCCCCTCCCTCCACTAACACATCAGTGACTCCCTATCACCTCCAGGATCGAATATAAAATCTGTTTGGCTTTCAAAGCCATTCTTAACCTGCACCTTCCCACCTTTCCAGTCTTCTTATACCTTACACCTCATCATGTATTCTGTGATCTGGTGTGGTGTGATGTGATCTGGTCTTCTTGCTATTCTTCCAACAAGACACTCCATCTCTCAACTCCAGGCATTTTCACTGTCTGTCCCTCAAGCCTAGAATTCTTTCCCTCCTCATCTCTGCCTCCTGGTCTCCCTGGCTTTCTTTAAGTCCTGGCTAAAAATCTCATCTTCTACATGAAGCCTTTTCTGATCCCCCTTAAGGCTGATGCCCTCTTTCTCTTGATGGAGGGTGGAATTCTGAACTAGATCTGGTGAACTGATCCAACCATTTTGGAGATCAATCTGGAATTGTGCCCAAAGAGTTATTAAACTGCCTATAGCCTTTGACCCAGCAATACTACTACTAGGTCTATTTCCAAAGATGATTAGGGAAAAAGGAAAAGAACCTATATGTTCTAAAATGTTTATAGTGGTGGTAAAGAACTGGAAATTGCAGGGATGCCCACCAATTGGGGAATAGCTGAACAAGTTGTGGGATATGATTGTGATGGACTACTACTATGCTATAAGAAATGATGAGCTCAATGATCTTAGAAAAACACGGAAGGACTTGCACAAAATAATGAAGAGTGAAATGAGCAGAATGTCTTGATTATTTCCAATTTATCGTGTGCTCACTTAATTGTACATAGCCATTTGCGTATTGTCTCTTTCAACAAACTGAGTTCCTTGAGAGCAGAGACATTTCCCCCCTATCTTTTTATCCTCAGAGCTTAGCACAATGCCTGGCACATAGCAGGTACTTAATAAAATGTTAATTGACTGACTTGCAGCCTCAGTTTCCTCATCGGTAAAATGATGACCTCTAAGATTTCTTCCAGGTCTACATCTGGAATGCTATGAGACCCTAGGTTACCACTCTGAGCAGCAGCATGGAGTGAGAGACAGAGACCATAGGATACAATGAGACACTGTGGCAGAAGCCAGTACTGGGAGAGGGAGCAGGGCAGGGCTTGGTCAGTAAGAAGCTCATCTGGGTATGGCTGGCCCAGGGCAGGTGGTGGTAGCAGTGATAGAGAAAATGAACCATCTGATACCTTCATAGTTAAGCTAATTATTCTTTCTAACCAGATGGAGTACAAGTGCTAGCGTTACCCTCTAAATTTTGGCACCCTTGGACAACATATTGGTTGCCCAACCCAAGTTAGTTATGACCCTAGGCAGAGTCCTTCCTCATTTGGGTTTCAGTTTCCTTATCTGTATAATGATTGGGCTGGACTAGACGATCTTGACCAGTTCTTTCAGCTCACAGGTTCTAAGCGGTCTTAGATGGTGATTTCACACTGTCTGACTGGTATGGGCATGGAAATGAGCCTACACAATGTTAATTCTTGGCTTCTACAGATCCCTGGCAGATGGAGAGACAGAATGAAACAGCAGCTGTCAGAGATTCCATATATCTATCAATATAGTCCTGTACTTTACGGTAAATTAGAAGTTAAAAAAGGTTTTGTAGGCTGGTCTGGGGTCCTAAACACTAAGTATAATGCTTTAATGGGAAATGGAGGTACAAGTTCCAAACAACTTAGGAACCAACTTTTGTCAACACAGCTGTTCAAAAGGTGGGGATTGTCTATACACCATGATGTAAAAATTGAACACAAGGCCCCCAGACAAATCAGTGAAGTCAGACTTTATTTTCTTGCTGCTCTCTCTTTCACTCTCCCAACCCCAACTCTCTATTGACCCTTGGAGAGCACAGTTGCCTTTAAGATCTTGTAACCTGCTTGTTAACATACTTAGAGTGATACATGTCTCTTACCTGTTCAGGGGATATTGTACATGGAGTGGCACTAACACCAAGGGTTTGCTTTGCAATTTTTTTTTAATTGAGGAATTAAACAATATGATATTAGGATTAAAGACAGAAAAATAATCTGGTCTGCATAAGTCCCCAAAGGTCTGTGAAAGACCCCAACCTACATCTTCAGAATCAGGATGAAACACAGTTCAGTCCACTAAGCTAGATTAAAGAACAGCTGTGACTAAGGACTGGCAAGGTGGGCAGCCACCTAGGATATAACATGCCAGCCAGTGAAATGAACAACATTTTAAAACATTACATTATGTGAACACACACATTTTTAGTCCTGGAAAATTTTGCTCCCTCCTGCCCAGAGGTGGTATATCAAGCTGCATGAGGTATGATGAAAGCTCAAATTCTCTGACACAAAGTAACGAGTCTTTGGGGGGGGGCACAAGTCAACTAAGGAAAAAGGCATTATA